ACACCATTGTCATTTACACATTCATATATATTAGATGGTGATTCAGAGAATTCCTTCCACCTGCCAGGTCCTGTGCCTTCAATGGTGGATATACCTCTGTAGCAAGGGAAGATGGACTGTATAGACAAAGGCCTATTGACAAAATAAAGACAAATTTTCCTCAGCAGGATAATATGTTTTGCCAGAACATCTCATACTGTTACTCTCAGGCCTAAGAGTCCTTGGTCAAGTATGTGAAGTTCTTCTGAATTTTGAAAGTTTACTACAATATTGTTAAAATTACTACAATATTGCACTCCTCTGAGTCGATCACAGGAGAAGTGATAACAAACCAACTAATAGTGGGGGAGAAAAAACATGATTTTGTAGACATCATTTACTGGGCTGAATAGCCGACCCATCATCCAGTCTATTAACACTGCAGTCACTTACCATAACTTTTAACCTACATTGGCCACTGGCTATGTAATTTCAATGAGAGATTATAGTTTGTCAAAATACCAGCTTTGCCTGTTACAAATACCACTTGGATATTTTGCATGTCACTTCTGGAGGGACTGGTCACTTTCTGAAAGTGTGTTGCAAACACCTCTCCAAAGTGACATGTCTTGCGTAATAGCCACAACCTCTCTCTTATTTTTGTACAGCAGAAAAGCAGTAAAACATATTTTAAATAATCCCACTTTATGTTTAAGCTCAGTGCTGCAGAAAGCTGTCATGATAATTTTGATTTCAAAGGCTGAAATAAAGGGAAAATGACCTTTATTCCTAATATAATGTGAGTGGGTCATTTCTGTGATTGCTGTATAGAGAACTTTGATGTTTTCAAATAGAACCGTAGTATATTATTCACTGTTACTCTTGAGAAACCACACACACAGCATAAATGTAACTTGAGTTTAGAAAAAAATGTATGCACACACACAAACACACACACAAAGATCAACTCGGGTACTGGAGAGAATATTGATGTGCAGTAAATTGGAAGAATTTGATCTCTACATCCTCCCCTGTGTGCTTGGTTTTATTCCTTATGTCCTTTGAGCTGTCTGTTATTTTAACATAGTGCCAGGTATCAGAATACTATACAAATAATACAGTGCCTCAGCTGAAGGAGACCACAAGAGCACACAAGTAATAGATATAAATTTAGACACACTCAAGACTAAGTGTTGCAAGAACAGTAAGGCTTCTGGCAAATTAGTTTGACCCTCACAAAATATATTTTTACTGGAAAATAGGAGTGGGATGCTTTTTAAGGACTGCATTAGCCAATACTGCAGTGCAACGACGTGAAGACAAAGCGTGAAGGAAGTTGTATGTGATCAGCTGTAGGAATTCAAGTGAGAGTGGCAAAGCAATCATACCATGCATATGAAAGTCTATGAGCACATTACTGAATACCAGAAAGCAAGAAGCAAAAAAAAGGAAAGCAGCAATTCATTTTCTCTAGGAAATTATATCCATTACTTTTAAAATCTACACAATAGCTCAGGTGCAAAAGCAAGGAATGAAACAGTGTGATTAGGGCCACCTGCAGCCTACAGACCTGCTTACACCTGTATGGGAAATTTTCAGCAATGACATTTATTTGTCATTAAGAGCATGTTGTACTGCTGATGTCGTTAGATTATTGAGCACTTCCCAGCTGGAATTGGTTGAATGTGAAGAAATCCTTAGAAAACTTAATGAAATCCATAGTTCTCATATATTTCAATTGGGATTGTTTATTAACTGGTGTTATTGGCATAAGGTCAAATATTCAACCTGCTCCTGTTATCGTTTTAGTCTGTAAGAGCCTAGGGATATTAGTAGTAATTACTTAATTGGAATTTCCCTTCAAGTACATTTAACAAAACACCAAATATGAGAAACTAACTACTTGTAAGAAATTTGTGGTATGCCATCCTTGTATTTGGCTGTGTATGTTTTGCTAATAATTATTTCTTTTGTTATCACTGTGTCGCAATCCAAGAACCAGAATTTTAATGTTAGAACATTCTGTAGTCTTCCCTCACTCATTTAGAGTCATGAAAAAACTCCAAAATCCTCAAAATGTAAAACAAGAACAAGAAAAAATTATTTAATACATTCTGTACATAATATTCCCAGCAGATCACATACAAAACAGGTTGATTCTCTTGTCATTCTATCAAGATTGGATTGTCTGCTTACCATGTGAAACAAGAAACAGGGAGGATGTTACAAATCAAAAGGAGATATATAGACAAAAAATACTGGAAGGAAGATAAAGTGTATTTCTCATCTTTTCTATGTCATAATCTCTGACGTGTTGCCTAATTGCATTACAAATTGGTCTTGAAATATGTAATTTCCAATGTTTTTTGCTCAGTGATCAGAGAGAAGTAACTTTTTCCACTAAAATCAGATGACTCTTTCAGTGGCTGAATTAACATTTATGAATACAAAATACTGCATACTACTTGGTCCAGTGAAGTATATTTGACTTAATATTATTCAACAGAGTAATTATGGAGAAGATACACAACCAAACAAAGTAAATTAATGGCAAATCTTAAAACTAGGGAGAAACATTTTACTTGCATATCTAATCCTGTAGCGGGTTTGGCTTTCAATGGAAACAGAAACATATCCTCTAGCTGATCAGCTTTGCAGGAAAACAACCCAACTTCAGAACAGGAGTCCAAAACAAAAGGACTTGAAAGCTTTGCTATTGTTACTGATGGGCTTCGAAAGTTCAGTTAGTTAAACGATTGAAGAAAATGACAGCATCTACTGAGAAGGTTTGAAGAGTTTAAATAAGCACCTTGTGAAAAGCTGCCTTACTGTACAATACTTTTCCTAACCATTTTGTAAGGAAAATATCTCCAAACCTAGCTTTATTATCAAGCCCTGAGGTGAAAGAAGCCCTAGAAAGTCAAATATTTCTTTCTGTAGCAAGGATGACACCCTTAGCCCTGTTGAAGAAGGCTCTGTACTTGTACAAATTCTTTACTTCTTGAAAAATGTATTACAATGTATTTTTAAAATATGGTGTTTGGAACAGAAATAATGTGTGGATTCACCCTTTTGTCTCTCTCCATTGCTGCTTTTTGTACTAATCCAAAGGAGGAGTGTAAGTCATGTTTAGTCAGAAACCCTGGCTACAGATATAATTACTGAAGTCTAGGTCTTTGTAGTTCACAACTGGTTTCTGCGGAGATTGATCACTAGAATGTTTCATCTTGTTATGTGCACTAGATTACCTGAAGACTGGTCTTTTACTATTGTATAAGAATTATCAGGACTTAGAAAAATACTCTTGAAATAAGAAGAACCAAATTATTGCCATTGCAGGCCTGTTTAGTTGGACATCTTTGCTATTCCGCTAGTGCTCACTGCTCCCAGCCTGACTTGGCTTCTTGCATTTGTTATTCTCTTTTCCCTTCTATGAAGTGCTTCAGTCCTTTCCTTTACTAATGCACTAACAGAACAGCTATTCCACTGCAGTTTTCTTTTCTTATTATTTTTAATGGTTTCTTTCATGTATCTTCTTAATGGTGTGGACACACAAACAGTCAAATCAGTAGGACTAAGGTACTGGCAATGGCAAGAGCAAGAATAAGAAGCACAGAGCATTGCAGGGGCAGGGTTTTCTTAAACTGGTTCCCAACTGGCCTTCTCTGGTTCTCAGTTCTCATTTTCTCTTCAGAGAAGCAAGTGTAGTTTATGGTAAAATATGACTGTTCCTCACCCAAACTCAGTTATGAGGAGGAACGAACAACAGAGTGATGGCTTGAGGATTCAGGCTCCTGAGGTTACAAATCTCTGCAAACTAATTAAAGACTGGTATTAAGTAATCATCACTCATCCCTGAGACCTGTATCTAAGCTAAAGAATACTCTTCAATATTTAGTTATTAGCCCATAAGTCTAACACACATCAGAACTACAGAATCAATGTGGGCAAATGGCAAGGAAGGTAGGGATACAGCTGAACTGCCAAAAACTTCCACTTTCCCTAACTGATGGCTGCTAGATTCTAGGAATGAAGTGATTTTACTGTTCAGCTATGTGCTTGCAAATAGTTTTGTCTAATAATGTACTTACAAAATTACTGAGTAAAAAGTGTCTTGAAAAGCCATCAGCTTGACTGTAACCTACCTCTGAGTAATGCTGTGGGGAAAAAAAATTAAAGAAGATGGGAGAGAAAAGCTCTGTTTTCACTCTCTTTGTTCTGCATTTGTATGAGGATGAAGTAGGCTGCACTGCAGAACAGTAGTTTGTCACAGGAGATATCTCAGCTGATAAAAAGAAATAACCTTGTCACCTTCTGTATCCTTTGCTGAAGTTAACATATCATTATGCTTCTGGTATTGTATGGTGAGACACTGAGTCAAACTAACATTTCTTTTGTCTTTTTAGTGTTCATCCTCATTGTCAGAACCTTGACCTCTAGGCATAATGTGGATTAAGCATCTGCTCTCTCTGGATTTTAGATATTTGCACCTTTACTAGGGACTTCAAAACAGGAGTGTAACCATGTTCTTGCTAACCCTGGTGTAAAATAGGGATCATTACAATACAGTCAGTGGAATTACTCTGGCAGAAAATGGGGGTAAATGGGGCTCTGGATTGTCCACAGATTTTCAGACAATTGGAAAAGATGTTGCAGTGTGTCCTCCAATTACTATTAACAAAAGTGCTCTTCCCCACATAGCCATTTTTCTCAAAATGCCAATTTCTTTTGAGCTCTGCTTCCCATTAAGACTTCTCCTGAATGAGGGCAAATGAGAGTGATGTTCACTTTCATCAGCTGAGCAGTATGAGAGGACTGGCCTTGCTATTACTATGCACTCACAAGCAGCTCAGAAGCAATTGAAACACACTTGGTTGTCTAATTTGAAACTCTGAAAAAATAAAGAAAAGGTTTTTTAAGGCTCAGCTCAGTAAGAGAATAGCCTGTGCAGCAGCATTTAAAACTTTCAAGTGCTTTTTAGAACAAAATTCTTGATAAGAATTTTTCCCTCTCTTTTCTAGCATCCAAGATCTGCTGTATTTCTCCTTTGAGAATTCATAACAGCAACAGATACTTTAGATGTAAGGTAAGAGCTGTGAGAAAAGGGTTTGCCTTTGTTGTTATTAATAAACACGACCAATTTGTACGGCAAAAAGTAGACCTGGTCTTGGTAGGTGGGTGAAGTGTAATGTTCAGATAAACTGCACTGTAAAACAAACTGTGAGCTTTGAACAGTGATCCCAGTCTGGCCAACGAATTAAATAATAAATTTCTGCACTGAGGTCTCTTGGTAAATTAATGAGTGAAATCTGTTGGCTCTTGTTCTTCTTGAGTCTGGGAGAAGTCTTGCTTATGGTCAACGAGCACAGATCTGACTTGGGCACTCAGAGCTAACCCAGTGGCCAGGATCCTGGCAGTCTGTTTAAACAAAAACAATTTTCATCTCTGTAATGTCAAATTTATACCTATTTACACTCCCTTATATATGCTTAGATTAAGAGTGACAGAATCTAATTTAGGAAATGTTATTAATCAGTGCTGAATCAAACTCTGTATCTGTTTTCTAAGGGAAATTAAATAAAGAGATGTCTTGTTCATATTTATGAGGGATTTTCCTCTACCTCAGAAACCTAGCTTCTGGTTTATTGTTCCTAAACAGCTTCTCAAAGGAATGTGGGCCAATAAGCTGGAATACATTGACACATGTATTTTTTGTGTCAATACATAAGCAGCTGCCAGCTGAGGAGTACCCAGCACCAGACCTCTTGGACTGGAGTGTTTGCTTGCTCTGTACTTCACCGAGCAAAACCATGTCCAAGGGGAGAGAATATGCACGTAATGGAAAACCTTAACAGTTTATTGCAAAGTCTGTGCTTTATCAAATTTAATGCATTTATTGGTACAGTTATTCTTGTGCTTTTTCTGCTTATAGGCCAGTTATTGCCCATCTGGTCTTATCAGAATTCATGAACAGTAGAGTTTGGAAAGAATTACGACGGCCAAATACATTTTTAGTGCTAACATGAAGATGTGGTTCTAAAACAAAACAGTTACAAAAATTTATAGGAAATTTTCTATAGAGAACAGTTGAGTCAAAAGGATTGAGACTGAGTCAATCTGATTTCTAAGTGGCTTTCATTTACTTTAGCAATCATGCTGAACTTACTGTTATGGCTAAAGTAAATAAAAATTGTTCGTGTGAGAAAATATTTACTATTTTGCATCCTTGTAGTTTAAATCCTTGTTGGTAAAAATCTGATGGAAATCTGCAGTAACCTTCAGTGTTATATGAACTTGATCAGTGTTTTCCCCTTCACTTTGTTTCTTCTTATTACCTTAAATTGGAGAGTAATTCCAGTATTTTGATTATAGCTACTGTAGGAATTCAGTTAAAGGAATTCCGATTACAGTGAGCTACAGGAAAACATTTTACAGAATCTTACCCTAAAGTTGTGTATGTCAGAGCCTGAGCATTTCATGAGATTACATACACGTTCAGTCAATGTTGCAGTTTGTCTGCATCAGTGAGGGGATCTAGTGTTGTAGGGGCTGCAGGGAGGTGTGTGCACACTCAGGGTGCTCCACAGAGCCTCTGAGCCCTTGTCCTTGAGAGATGTCATATGGATGTAGGACTCTTTTCAAATTAATAGAATCCAAATTACTGGGCATAAGATGATGAAATTAAAAGCTTCAAAGCTGCTTGACATGAATTCTCTTTTAAAATAGATGTAATCAATGGGAGGAGAGTTTTTCAGGTGTTGATTTTTTAACTCCAAAGTTAGCACAAATAATTATATTGCTTGGCATTTCTGTCTGTTGGAAGAATGATACTAATAAACCTACCTGACATCTTCAAATTATCACATTGCTAAGTCATTGTCTTTAAAGTATTTCTAAATATTATTTTTTGTTGTAATCATGTCTAGTGGTTAACACGTAGGCTTGAAACAGAACCTTCCATCAGGGAAATTAGCATTTTAGTCTTACACTTCTTATCTTACCATTTTAAAGAGAAGAGTTTATCAAACCAGTTTTAAGAAACCAATGTTCACTGTCTGAAGGAATGTGATCTAGTTCTGTTTACTACCATTCAAAGTGTAGAAATGCAGAGATACCCTGGATAAGATAGACACAGACAACATTGCTGGAGTGGTTTTGCAGGATTGCTTAAGTAGATTTACCTATTCTTGGAGGCCTCCTTAACCTTGCTTCATGGCTCCTTAATGAGACTACTGGTAAAAATTTCAATATGAGCCTTTCAAGTATGACAAGACTGACTGCAAACAGCTCACTAGCACTCAGAGCACATCTTTGATTCTCTGGTTTACCTACTTGACTGTATTCAGTCTGTCTCTTCACAACAGCCTGCCTAAATAACCTTGAGAAATGTAATTATACACTCACTATTGATTAGTAAGGATCCATATTTAATTATGCGTAACATGTTCCACTTTTAAACTTTTAGTTCTTTGTGCATCAACACTTCATGTCAGATTGCAGTTTACTTTCAGCCATTACAGTGATGATCTTCATAGGAAAATGAGGCTTCCTCCTTCCTTAAATTGCTTAAGGAACAGACTTATTTCCTGCTCCTCTATCTACATACAAGCCAACATCCTCCCTTTGGTGCAGAAGTGTGACCAGTCATTCCTCATTGAAGGGTTTTATTCATAATTTTTGCTAGGAAAATAGTTTTGCTGAGGCAGTGCTTTGAGGTCTTTGTACTGAATCTGTACTGCAGTCTCAAGGGACCATGTCAGTTAAATTTGGACCTATTGCTGTAGCAGTTTCTTTATTTTTAGTTCACAAAAAAAGTTAAATAATAGTAGTATAAGATCACGTACTTGAGCAAACCTAAAGTCTTCTCTAACCTGTTTCTATTTACAGCAAAAAAAATAAACTTTTTCAGTAGAACAGGAACATATAATTAAAAATTTCAGCATACTAAAAAATATCTGACTTTGCAGGCAGTCTCCTTAGAAGTAATATGTGATGATTTGCTTCCTGTTAAATAAGGAATTGTGCACAAAATAAAACTTACTTTACAATATTTTTCTCAAGCAGGAACCTAATTGAATCTTCCTTCAAGAAGAAATCTAATCTATGATCCCTAGAGATGCAGATTGAAATTCTTTTTTCTGAATCTGCATCCCCCCATGGGTGGGGTTTGGGATTTTTTGTTAGTTCAGTGAAGAATAAAAACCAGAGGACTTTAGTCTCTATATCTGGTTCACATATTCTCTGAATTGGAAAAAAGGTCATGACAGCAACTCACATCACTGTAGTACTCCCAAAATCCAGACCTACCTGACTGCAGTTCAGCACTAGACCTTTTTCAATCCAAAACATGGGCTGATTGTTACTGATAATTCAGGGTCAAATTTAGAAGCATCAAGCTCAGTGCTAAGGGAATTAACTTGCAATGAAAGAAAATTAAAAAATCTCTCCCCTGTGATACCTTTGTCTTCTTCCTGAAATAACTTCTACAGACTTTATACAGTGTGATGTTATTTGAAGGAGCATCCTTGCTTGCATACATGAATCCAACCTGCCTTAATATGACAACCTCATAGGAATCAGGGCTCTTCGCTGTAAAGAAGCTGTACAGCCATTCCATGTTCCTTGTTGTCTCTTGGGAGATTTGTTTGCTACCAAGGCAGTGCATGGGCGAGTAAAAGAAGAATGAATGTGTCCTCAGAAGACACCATTACAAAATACTCCCCTATGCAGAAATTGTGACATGAAAATGTACCGATGAGTTCATTGCCTAGTGGGGCTATTTCTGGCATGTTTACCCTCACCTCTTCCTCAGAGCTGTGCCTACTGTAAGCAACTAGTTCTGAAAGTTTGCTTAAGATAGCAGTGCAGTGTTAAGCAGTGGAAGCATTTTCCTTTGAATATGGCTATCCTCCAAAAGAAAACAGGTATGAGTGGCTCGTTTGTACAATAAAGCCAGTTGTTAATATGTTCTGGGAGCTGTTTCAATCCAGGATAAGTGGGGGAACATTATCACTAGAAAGTGCTTTTAATAGCAAACGATTTGTATGAAGCAACAAAAAGAAAGAGATTACAAGAGAAATGTAAAGATCAGGTTCAAAAGCGTATCAGAATAATTTATAGGGCTATAGCAGAGATTAACATACAGTAGTTTCATGGGGCCCTGTTTGTGCTGAGACCATCTCTGGTAAACTGTAAAAATGCCTAAAAATCTACTACAAGGCATGATTCTGCCATGACTGAACTGAGAATGAGATACTCATCCTCTAGATGATAAAGGAGGTACAATAATAAGTCATTATAAATGAGAACTGACTATGGTTTTCCTTTACATTGAACAAGAAGAGGATGAGAAAAACAGTAGCAATTCAAAGGCTTGTCCATTCTCTGAGCAAGAACTAGGTCTCCAGATCTTCCAGTCTGTCTTGGTCAACAGAAAAAAAATCCACTGTGAACACTTGTTTTAGAAAATCACGTATAAATATAGTAAAAGCTAGTGGATTTTGAAAAGATCTGCAAGCAAAAGGCAAAATACATGTAAGGTTCAAATATCAGAATATGGGTTGTATTAATTAAATGAAACATTTTGTATGCTAGGAAGCAGATACTAAAAAGACATTGTTTTACAGTCAGAACATGAGTTGTTGGTACTATATATTTTCCTGCTAGTAAAAAATTCGGATTGAAATGCTCTCTTTTCTAGTACTATTGATTAGCTCTGGTATGTTCTGCAGATTGTTTCTGCTGTTATTTTACATCTGATAACACTACCACGGGGAATTGTGTTGTGTAGTTCTAAAAATAATAACAACGCTCATTTGTGGAACTATAGAAAGGTGTGCAAGATGACAGTGGCAAGATTGATAGGAGAACAATTTTGTTCTCAGAAGTTCACTCTTAGGATTTACAAAATAGCCTGTGTTAGCTGAGACAGAAAATAAGATTTTATCTGAAAAGTACATCCAAGATTCCTCAATTATAATTCTTTTTTAATGAAAGCTTACTGGCATAGCCTTTTAATTTTTTACATTTGTGTAGGAGAAAAATTGGGCAAGGAATTGCCTAACTGATGTACTCCTATACAACTTA